TAGACCCAGAATTGCGTGAAATATTGCGATCTAAAAAAAAATTTTTTTTTGTTGCACTACTTATGATCGCCAGTGTATTTCAGCTGGAACTATGGCGATTTTTACCCGTCCCTGTTTTTGATCGTAATATTGTGACTTTATCTATTTCATGATATTTTTGCCAGAATAAACCTTGGTATTCAAATTCTTGAATCCAAGAAGTGATGTTGCTTTTAGATTTTTGATTGTCTTGTGGATTTCTTTCATTTGTTGATTGTGACGAATAAAATTACCTATAGCTTCGCATACATAAGCTGCATGCTCTAGCCGGAATAGACACCACGCGACTTTAGCAATGATAGTAATGATAGTAATAGGCCACATTTATTACTGTAATATAATAAACAAATCTTTTTAACCACATATAAGCATCCCTGGGGCTTAAAGAATTTATAACTTGCGACGAGCGACCATACCACCCCAATAAATTATATTAGAATTTGATAAATTTTATTGACATCTACGAAAAGAAGAATGAATAATTGCCATAGAAAACCAATTATTGGTAAACGAACGATGAATTTCTCTAAAAATACTAAGGCAACATAGTTCATATTAATCAAAATCGATAGTTCTTTAGCATTTGTTTTTGCTGATTTCATCACCGAACTCTTCATCATAAGCATCGTCCCAGTAATTATACATGAAAGTGCTAGCGTCAGTCAGCGATCCAAATGGTCCTTGGTTTAATAATGAATTTAAATCAGAAACAGTTTCAATAGTGTCTCCTTGGTTCAGGCTGTTAATAGGTAAAATTTTCGATGTATCTATCTGGTGTGAACCAGACGGGATCTGGAAACATTAAAATAATGTTTGGAATATAATGTGTGATCTTTCTTGGTATTGATTGCAATGTTGACAGTAATATTTCCATGGTCCCATTAGGGACATCAGAGATATAGCGTGTCATCATATATTTTGCCCAATAGTCATCATATTTTGATTTAGAATTTTAAGCTGGATCTTTAAAACATTGTAGTAAGATGGGAATTTATGACTCTTAATGAGATTATAAAATTCTTGAACTTTTGGACGAAGATTCTTAAATGTTGTGAGGATATATTATCTTAACTTCATTAAGAGGAATGGGTTGACCTCTAATAATAGTTGGCGCCAAATATACCTGGAACTTATGAACCCGGTATACCTTAGCTAAAATGTGACATTCTTCAATATATTCTTTAGCAATTCTATCATAATGACCAGGATGTCACGCTAAGTTGTAGGCTTTCCCGGTGGAAGAGAAGATAAGATAATGAATTTTTAGTGAAGCTTGGTAGTACCTTAAGTTAGACCTACACATAAACGTTTGTTTATCGTTATGAACAACAAGAAGGCGTGGTGCTGGTTTTAATTGTGGAAATTCACGAGTTAACCGAAAATAATGCCACTGTTCAAGGCAAGAAAATAAATCATATTCTGAAAAATATGGATCATGGCGACGATATACTACTTTATTACAAGATATTCTAAATCGGTGATTCTGGGTTTCCAAGATATTTCTAAATCAATGCCGAAACGAGCAAAAGCATTGATTATTTCTTGTTCTGAATGTTTGTTTTCAAATTTAACAGCCCATATATTATCGTCTCCAAAATTATAGAGAATATTATTTTTAAAGAAATCATTAGGGTGTTTATTTTCAAGCCAGGACCAAACTGAAATTGCGCCGTGTTTATAAGTCCATGTATTCATATCCGAAGTGGCTTCGTAACTTGTCCAAAAGCCCGGGCCGGGCTTAACAAACAGCTGTTCTCATAACGATAGATTCTGGAAATTTTGGCAAAAGTTGACCGACCGAATATTTACCGATTCGATAACTTTTGATTCGGATGCACAATTGATTATAGAAGAAACGCGGTAGATTATTTAGATTATTAGAGAAACTTTAAGTTCTCACCTTGTCCTACAACATATTCGTTTAATTCATTTTAATCCAACAACTTTCATATTGCACTTCACCGGTCGAAGTTATAAGCAATTAACTACCATTACGCTGACAAAATCTCGTTTGTTGAACAAAAAAAAAAACCGCAAAAAAAAACTTAAAATAATGGATAACGACAATAATATAGGAAGAAGGAAATAGTTTGTGTATTTTTTTATTATAAGTCTGTACAGAAATCTTTTAGAAAATCTAAAATATACGAATAATATTAATTAATTATATAATTTATTAACATTATTACTATAGAAGTTTTGGAGATACAATAAAAAATTTATATATGATGTGTATTAAAATCACAAAGATCTCTTATAAAAATGATAGTTGTGTAAGATAGTATAGTGTAAAAGATTAGAAATTTGAGTACGTAGAATTAGACATTATTTGCTGGTTGAAGATAACATTAGGTCGGGTAGCTTTTTAAAATTCTCATTTGCCGGGTGAGAACTAATATTAATTCGAATGTGAAACTATTAACTTTTTTGTAATTTAAAGAAATGTTTTTTATTTCTAAACAACAAATTCATTTACAATGTCTTTCGCTCTTTATTTATGGTTTCGAAGTGTTTCAGTATTTACAACACACAAGTGATTTCTTAAATGTTGGGCTTCCAGATCGTTGGTTTTTGTTTGATATTCTGGAACGAAAACTAAGCTCAAATGTGTTTGAAATTTCACGAACAAGGAGAAAAAAAGGTGATTATAAATAAAAATGGTAAATAATTAAATAATTTGTTTAAAAGAAGCGACGCATGGGTTGTTACGTCGGACCCGTACGATAACTATATATTTTAGTAGTGTCAATGAAAATTTAAAACGGCATCTCCATTTTATATAGATATTTGATCAGTTTGAATTAAAAAGTTGGCTAAGTCTGTTCAAAAAACCGCATTCTGTCCAACGCGAACCTTGTTAAAGTGAATAAAACGATTTTGAATTACATGTCTTAAATAAAATTGACATGAACTCAATGACCTTTATAATTAATTAGTGATCCGCATATAAACCAGTGACAAATCATAGTAAAAAGTGGAGATATGTTTACTATATATTTCTTGTCTTATTTGGAATCTAGAGTTTCCTCAAGGAGAAATCGATTTTTTTACTAAGTAAACCTTCTTTCTACTTTTAATAAAAGTTGTAGAGGTAGAATTTCGGTCATAATGGTAGTTGAAACGCTAAAATAGAAAGAAGGTTTACTTAGTAAAAAATCAATTTCTCCTTGAGGAAACTCTAGATTCCAAATACCGTAAATTCTCGAATTAGCGTGCATGGGCGTTATTTCAAATTTTGGCCTGAATTAAACTTAATTCGGGCCGAAAGTTGAAATAACGCCCATGCCCGCTATTTCGAGAATTTACGGTAAGGCAAAAAACAATAGTAAATTTCTCAAATTTTTACTATGATTGGTCACTGGTTCATATGCGGATCACGAATTAATATAATTAATCATTGTATTTATTCTCTAGAGTGTACGATTTCTGATGAAAAATCCTTTAATTTTTAAAATAATATAAATAAAAATTAACAAATAACTTACTCTTCAATTCATTAATATTATGCTTATCTACTTCAACTCAGTTTTTTAAATGGTTGATTTGGAATGTTTAAAGTTATGATTAGAATTTTTAATGATTATTTTGTTTAATCTAAGTAGATTCCGATCCTGTTTAGATTCTATTTCCACTTACAACATATATACCAAAACAATGTAATAATTTTATTATTTAAGACACTAAAACAGTACTACATAACAAATACATCTATATTATATGAATCTTTTTAATCTCTTATTCTAACGCTAACCCTAATATTAAATTAAAATTTACACTAATTCACACTAATTCTAATGCTAACCCTAACATTAAATTAAAATTTACACTAATTCACACTAATTCTAATGCCATTGCGTAACGAACGACTCATAGAATCGTTACACAACAATCCCATTTTTCAGTAAAGTAACTACTCGTTTTTAGTCAAAAGTTAGCGAAAACACGATCTAACATAGCATAATTGACGATTGCGACCAAAAAGCCCGATCGATGCGTCCAAAATTGAACCCGAACAGAGCAATCGGCAAATTAGTACGTACGACCAAATTTTGATTCAAGACCTAAAAATAAAAATCAAAGTAAACATTATCTATAACGTCCAGATACTATAAGAAACATTCTAGTGAAAGCATAGTGAAAATCTGGTGAAATAGTAAAGAGAATTTTAAACCTAATAAATAATTGGCATTGCAAAATATATAAAACAAAAAAATTAACAATAAATCTTTAACGCTTTAGTAGAGCTAAACTTACCATCGAAAGGACACCCAAAACAAATATGTATCAAGAAAACCCGTTTTTAAAAAAACTACACAATATCTAGCAAAAAACCAGACAAAAATTGATTTCAGCAAAATATATATCGAAGAATGATAAAACCAACGAAACGAAGATATTGCTACCACGACAATTTCAGTAAAGGACGACTCCAGCAAACGACGAATTCAGAAACAGCGACATAATAACTCCAACAAGTGATAATGCGACAATATCAACACCAGATAGCTACGCCAACAAACGATAACTACGACGTATTTCGCTATTAAAATAAGCTAAAATAAAATAACAAACTAGTTAATAAAATAATAATAATGATAACGTAAATAAACAAAACTACTTATTATCGTAATCAAAAAATTTTCTTGTTAATCAATCATAGTTATTCTTTTTTAATCTGACGTTAACGTAGTGGATTAATAATATAATGCAAGTTAGTCATTGAACAGTTGTTCAATGTCCAGGCCACACCACGAGGAGGTTTGCATTTGTGGCCCAAAAGGAGTTTAAATTGGGGACGTTAATAAAAAAATTCTAAATTTATAAAGAAAGGGATTAAGGATAAACGATTTTAAAAACGTGTATTCGGTTATTTTTTCAATTCATTTATCTCGAAATGATAAAATACGATATCGATAATGTACCAGTCATCGATAAAGTGATTCGCATTTTTATGGCCTCTGATAGCGAATCAATGGTAAAACAAAGAGTGTTATTTCGTAAATTGCTACTAAGTGTGAAATGTGTTGTCATCATCTCTTAGATCGTCGGATCCACGATTCATGAGACTCGTCTATATCACAAAACTTTTCACATGTTACTAATACTCGGTGTAAAATATACCGTCATCATCTCTTAGATCGTCGGATCCAAAAAAAAACAATCTATGAGACTCAAATATATAAAAACCTTTCGTATTGTATTCCTTACGAAATAACACTGCTGGTTTTCGAATGAAAACAGGCCGTAATAGGGTAAAACTTTGAAAGATTCGCGACTTCTCAAAACCTTTCTCAAGAAATTTTATGCATGAATATAGTAGGGAAACTTAGAGCTTAGTTTAAACTACTAAATTCAGAGGCCCTATCCGTTGAAAGGAGTACATCGTCGACAAATCTTGTGCAAAGTTTAAAAACAAGTAAAAAGAAAAACGATCTTTAAGGGGTAGTTTGTAAAGTGAAAGAGGACACTTAACAAACAAGAAGTTGGAAATGCAATCACATAGGACGACCGATCAATAATTCACCCGGTTAGACCGGAACCATCGAAACGATCTAACTTCTCCAAACCTATGTGAAGGTGCTTGGGTACAACGAAAAAATAATAAGCGAAAAGGTAGAAAAAAGAAAAAGTAAGGATCAAAACGTGAGAAAAATTAGGCTATATATTGTATTATCGTTTATCAATCAGATAAACAATGCATCCTATTGGTCGATCGTATTAGGGGTTGCGATATGTAGATAAATTTCCAAAAAAAAAAAAAAAACGTGTTTTATGTAGATCAAACATGATCATCAACCAATTAAATTAATTAAATTAATAAATATATTATCAAGGAAACGGAAACCGTTATAAGTCCGGGGTGAAGTCACATGAGATTATTGTATTGTACAAATGTGCATTAACAGACAAAAATTTTTCAAAATTACGTTTTTGATATTGATTAATCAAGTACGTACGTACGTACGTATATATCGAAAGCGATATCTGATAAGTACAGCTATATATAGAAAACAAAGAATAATATGGGTGCATCTATTTACCAAACAAACTAATAGGAATACCAAACAACGTTTACAATAATGTGTATATATTATGTGTAATTTGGTATTCCTATAGTATTGTCCTAATAAGTATATCGTCAATATTATCGTTACACACAATTATCTATTAGAGCTCAAGATTTTACCAAACGTTTTACTTTTCAGTTTTATCAATGTCTTCTAAGCTTGAGCATCAAGATTTGGTACTTGTAGAAGCAAATCCAGAACAGGCTCGAATGTAAATGATAGCTACTATCGTAAAATTATTTATAAATTAAATATCTAATCTTTTTTTTTTTTTTTTTGATTCGATTAGTACTAATCGCAATTCATATATGAGTTGGGGTTATCCAATGTTGACTATAGATGAATACATAGACCGTGAAGAGATGCTTGCGAATAATGAATTTACATCAAAAAATTTTAAAGTCTGGATTTTAATTCCAAGAAAAAGCGACACCAATTGTAAGCCTTATTATACATCAAATAACACTGAACCAATAATCCTTTCACAATGCGAGACATTTCAACGTAAAGCTTTGATAACGATTTCACCTGGACGAGTTAAAGAAGCAACATGTTATTGTATCACTGCTTTATTCACTCCTCCTAAATATCGACACATGGGTTATGCTACGATAATGATGAAATTGTTGAATGATAAATTGAAATTTGAACTCAAGGCTTCATTTTCATACTTGTACTCCGAAATTGGTCCTGATTTTTATTCTAGATTAGGTTGGAAAATCTTTCCGCACAAAGAGATTAGATTTAAAGTCGATAATAAATTTTTGCCTGCGTCTGCAGATTCCGAAATGATCGTTGCGATTAATCAATCTAATTTAGAAAGTGTAGTTAATAAAGATTGCGAATTTATTAAAAAGGAACTTAAGAAACTAAACAAGAAAAGCATAGTGATATTACCTACTAAACCTGCTTTTGACTGGTTGTTTCAAAAAACCAAGTTTTATTCGGGATATCATGCAAGTACAGAAGATCCAAGACTTTTTGGTGCTATTATTTTGAAAGGAAAAAATGAAAATGAAGAAATGCTTGAAAGATTCATTATGTGGAACCATGACTTCAGTGAAAATGAATTATTAATTGTCAGATTTCGTAGTGACTCATTATATATGACACGATTACTAATCCAGCAAGCTATGCAAGAAGCTAATAAATTTCAGTTTAACCGAATTATTTTATGGAACCCAGATTTAAAATTATTCAATATCTCGAAAGATTTAAATGTCTTTGATGGTGAAGTTGTTGAAAGAACAGAATCATTGCCATCCTTAGCATGGTATGCGGATGGAGATGATAATGTGGATTGGATATTGAACGAAAAATATACCTGGGTTTGATTACAATATCAAACTGTCTTTTTAAGGGCTATTTCCTTTTTTTTTTTTTTTTTGCTTACTACAAGTCACTCGTTATAATATAGTGAAGACTAATTAAAATCTCGATATAGTAAAGTTAAGCTCAAAGCCAGTTTATATAAAATTCTCTCGATATAGCGAATTTACTAATAAAACTCTCGATATAATTAATTTTTATTAATGGAACGAATCATTTCACTATAACGAGAGTGACTTGTATTTCTAAAGCCTAGTACTCATTTTATTATACCTAGTGGTGAGTAGGAGTAATCAGTCATTATAATATTCTCATAATGCAAATACCTCTTCAATAGAATCTTTATCAAAATTTTTGGTTACTAGTAGATATATCATTTAATCATTTATAGGGATAATTTATTTTGACTTGTTTATAGTGTACACTTAAGTTATTATTATTACATCTATAAGCACAATAAATGTCATCACATAAATTTAGACTATATTTTTATACATATTTTTAATTAACATCACAATTTCTATTGAAAATATTGTACATAATATTATACGCAATAATGTATGAATAAATTATATTTCAAAATGATTTGGAATTTATAAATTTTCTTGAGTCATTATCTAATAAATAAATTTTTAGATTCTCAACTTCTAGGACTTGAAATGTGAATAAAGTTTATACTTCTAATCGAAAAGCGAATATGACAATTAATTTTCTGCAAATCACATTGTATTTGTAAGATTTTGACCTTGATCTAATTTTAATAATATGAATGTCAATGAATAAAATTAAATAATGAATTATTTAATTGCATTGGTTAAATGAATACTCACCGATATCAATTCGCCTACTACCAAGTTCTATGGGGCAAGTTTGATAATGATGTTCTATAAAACAAGTTTGATAATTAATCAAATATCTAAACCAATTTAATGGAAGTCGCGGCTGAGGCCGGAAGCGGTGAAGCTGGAAACATTCAAATTTTTTTGGGGAGCTTATGTTTTTAAGACGAGAACACTAATTTCCAGTTTCAGCCGCGACAATAAACATATGCTATATAAAATATGCAATTTAGAGATTACCTAAAACTTTCCTTATTTGATTTGTGTCAATAAATTTACTGGTATACATGGAATCTCGATGTTTTGGTTTAGTAACCGGCAATGATTCAATTATTTTATCAGCAGTCGTGAATTTCTCTTTAATATCAAGTTCTTCACCAAAAACTATTTGCTTCATCAGAATGATTTGCCATCGGTAAAGCTTCAAGCCGACATCTTTGGCAGTAGGTCGCTTTTTTGGATCTGAATCCATGCATTGTTCAGCCAATTTAATATAAATGTCTGGTGTATTAGGTACAAATTCTGGCCGTAATGAATTTGATTCATCACAAATCTTCAAAACTAGGTTATAGTCAAACGGATGACCATCATAAGGCCTTTGCCCAGTTGTCATTTCTGCCATAATAACACCCAAACTATAAATATCAGCAGCTGATGTATACGGTTGACCTCTTAATACTTCTGGAGCGACATAAGGCAAAACTCCGTATATCGTGCCATCTACATCGTGTTTATCCTTTTCTTTAGATAAACCCAAATCTGTGACATAAGATTGTATTCCACCAGTGTGTTGAATTTGCAAAATATTGCCACTATGAAA